TACCACATGGTTCATGGCTTGTTACCTCATTTTCTACATGTCCTGCTTCTTCTGCATCTATCTTGCAACTCCTCAGTCTCAACCTTTCTTCTTCCCAGTGTCCTCCTAGTCTGGCTTTAGTGTCCAGTCTCTCTCCTGCCCAGCTATAGGCCAGTCAGCTCTTTATTAACCAATGAGAGTAATACATATTTGCAGTGTACAAAGAAACCTGGGTTCTTATCAAGTGTTTGTGTGTTTTTCTCATTAACATAAAATGGCAAACCTCTAATATGGATATTGGTAATTTCAACTTGAAGTTGTGCTCTAGAAAGCTCATGACTTCATGTGAGCTCATGCTGCACATGGCAAGGGCACTGGGACCCCGACTTACGTCACAGTTAACCTTTGTGATTTCCAAACAGCCAAAGCACCCCGTGCCCAGAAAGGAAGCAAGAGGCTGGCTGCCAAGCTGGCTTCTGCGCTTAGTAGTCAAACTCTCTGGTAGTCTCTGTGGCTTTTGTCAGCATGCACTCATGCACTTGAGCCCTGAGGAGCATCTACACAGGCTGGTGTTCTGCTCTCCAAGGCAGATGCCATGTGTTCAGCATCCCTCTGTCCTTCTCTCTGAGCCTGCTGTTCAGTTGGGACAGTTGCATTATCAGTCACCCATGTGGTGTGAGATGCAGCTGGCTTGCCTATTTGGGGTGCATTGAAAGTTTCTAACCAAGGCAGGGGCACTGCTACCCCATTTGGAACCTGAAACACAGGGCTAGGAGTCCTGAAATTCCAGATAAATCTTCCTCCGTACCTTCCACCATTCTAGAACAACTTAGTAAACTGTACCCTTGCTTGATACAAAGTAGGAGAAACATTTGCATGGTGGAACTTGCCAGCAACAACCACGGCAGCAAGACCCAGCTCAAACTCCTCTGTAACAAAGTAGCTTTCTTCCTTGAGTTCTAGAACATTGGCCTCCTGGTACAGAAGGGATTTAAACTCAGTAAAAGAGCCTTTCCTTTTCTCTTTCTGCTTACTCCCCACCCCCACTGCACCCCACCCCAGGCTTTGAGAATTTGTACTTCCCCTTGGGTTTATTTAATTATTCTTAGCACAAGTAGATGGGGAAACCTTAAGTGCATCACTGGGGACAGAGAGACGCTGGGGAGGGGTGAGCAGCCTAGGCATGGCAGCTGTTCTCAGGACCTACACAGAAGCTGGATATCAAGCCAGGGGACCAAGGAACCACCAAGAAAAACTGCTCAGATACCCCAGGGAAGTGCAGAAGGAAGGGACCGGGGGAGGAGGGACCCTCTAACATACCATAGATATTTCTGAGATGTTGAAAGTTCCAATTGTCTCCATCAGCCTCACATGGTCAGAAACGAGGTATGTTCCTTATCCAAAGGGAAGACACCTCTGGGATGCAAGGACATTAAGTTCCAGCTCTGCAAACACGAACATGCAAAATTGTCTGGGACTATGGATAAGAAAGTCAGTCCTATGGGGCCATGGAGGGCTAAGGGACCAAGACAGCTACTGAGTTCTAGGGAACCTTTGCCACTAACAAGGAAAGGAATACATTCCAGGATACAGTGTGTTCAGAATTTCAAATACTGCTTGCATTTATAGTAAGTCTCTTGTGCCTTAGGGTCATAGCTATTTCTCTAACTCAAAGAGACTTTACTGGTAGAGAAAAGAGAGGATAGGGGATGGGAACATGAAAGATACTTTTGAGACACTCCCTAGCATCTTATGAACTACCCCCAAATGCCCCCTCTGTAACTGAACTGCCATGCTTTCATCTTGGAAGAAAACAGCAGGAGTCAGGCACCATACTAGTGTCAAATATAAAAATAAAATGACTTTCACTAGCTAGATGATGTCTACAAGAGGGTGCAGACATATAAACTAACCCTGTTAACACAATACATTAAAGTCTATGTGAGAGGCTCTTCAGAACAGTGTGTTGTGGTATATTGCTTTATGTAACCATGTGCTGCATTTGTTTAACTATGTAGATATGTGTTACATTTGTTTATGCTGCAATTGTTTGAAGATGTAAAGATATGTTGCCTGGCTGGCATGCCTAAGGCACCTAATAGTCTAGAAAACAGCTGAATGGCCAATAGCTAGGCAATAGAGGGATAGGTGGGGCTGGCAGGCAGAGAGAATAAGTAGGAAGAGGAATCTAGGCTAGAAAGGGGTGAGAAGAGAATGTGGGAGAAAGAGTAGAAAACACCTGGGCCAGCCAGCTAGACTCAGAAGAAGCAGGAAAAATAGGACATACAGAATGAAAGAAAGGTAAAAAGCCCCAAGGCAAAACATAGATGAAGAGAAACAGGTGAAATTAAGTTATAAGAGCTAGCGGGACAGTCATAAAATAAGGGCAGGGAGCCCTCAAGGACTGAGGTCAGAAAGTCCCTGCAGGAACACCAGGAAGGGAATGGACCATAGGCTGCTTTGTGACTAAACCAATCAGAATTTGAATGGTATAAACACTCAGATGCAGTCTGGAGGTTAAGGGAGAGTGAAGGTTTATAAGCTTAGAGCAGCAGTAAGATACACAAATAAGAATGTCTGCAAGAGGGACTGGAGAGATGGCTCAGCTGCTATGAGAAGTTGCTGTTCCTACAGAGAGCCAGGGTTCAATTCCCAACAGCCTGTGACTCTAGCCCCAAGGGATGCTATGCCCTCTTTTGGCTTCTTCAGGCACTGTACACATGTCATACACATAGATGCACCCACACACACTCATAAATAAAGGTAGCATAAATCTATTTTTAAGAAAGAAATATCCAGAAGATAAAACTCTAATAAATAGGAAGATATGACAAACACAAAAATTAGAACAATGTCACCTCCTCTTGGACAAGAGAGGGCCACACTGAAGAGATGTACTGGGGACCCATGCAACGTAGTTGACATAGTCATTTACAGGGAAAAGCTTTCCGAGGCATTAGCAGTGATAGAGTTTCTATGTATGTTACTTATATAAGTTTTAAAGATTTGACACACTCTATAATAATGTTTGAAATGAACCACATGACTGGGAATCAAGAAGTCAAGACATAAAATGGAAAAGAATCTTTCAAATCATTTAAGTAGACAAAACCAGCAAAAGTAGATTGAGTTTAAGTTTGTTGAACGTGTGAGCCTGAGAATGGTGATCTAGTGGTTTATGAATGCAAGTCATTGGGTATATTGGAAAGAGGAAAAGCTTGTGGCTCAGAGAGTCCTGATACTGTAAGAGGAGGGCCATATCCTGGAGCTGAAATATGCATGTATATGCAAATGAGCATGCATGGATGGACACAATCATCACCAATATCATCATCATCATCTATATTCAATACTTCAATAGCCAAAGTCACGTTTGAATGGTGCCATTCTGGTATCCACATCCAACCTTTCCCTATTAGAGAGAGTAGTTTCCCACTTATGTGCAGTTTCCCTTTGTACAATTTCAAGTACCATCACTGCCAGTGGTGGTTGAAAATACTTAAAATAAAAGTCCGGTGAGAAGTTAACTCCCTAGTTTTAACTGCACAGGATTCTAAATGTTGTGATAAAGTTTCTGCTGTCCTGAATGTCCCAGTTTGATTTCTATTCCTGTGATAAATGTCATGAGCAAAAGGCAACTGTTGAAGGAAAGCATTCATTTGGTGAACACGCCCCAATCACAGTCCATCACTGAGGGAAGCCAGGACAGGAACTCAAGGTAGGTACATGAAGGCAGGAATGAAAGCAGAGGCCATGGGTGACCACTGCTTACTGACTTGCTCAGCCTAATTACTTAAATCACCCAGGTCTACCTGCTCAAGGATAGCAGTGCCCAGAGAGAGTTAGGCCCTTTCACATCAGGAATTAATCAAGAAAGTGTCCCATAGAGTTGATTTGATGGAGGCAATTCCTCAGTTGAACTTTCCTATCCCCAGAGAGGTCTATGTTTGCATCAAATTGAGAAAATTAACCAGTATTCATTCCATTCCAACTGGGATATACATCACAGCTTCATCCTGCATGTCCATGATGGACACCTTAGCCGTGGACTCTGCACATCACAACCATTGTATTTATCAGATCAATAGTTAGACCCACCCAGTGCTGTGTGCAAAAAGCTTTGTTGCTTGTGTATGCATTATGCCATCCAAAAAGAGACGGAGCCAATACAGCGAAGTATTGCCTGAACAAGCGCCCATCCTTCATACAACCTTGATATAATAACAATAGGTTATTATAGCTACAATTTTTCTATTGCATTATTACTTTTGTTGGTCATCTCTTACTTTAATTTATAAATTAACCTTTACCATATGCATATATAAGAAAATGCAGGATAAATTTAGTACCATTTATAGTTTTAGGCAACCACAGGATCTTGACATGGATCTCCTATGGGAAAGAAGATACTAACCATCATAGAATGACTTGGAGTTTCAATTCTATCTCTACCTTATGTCATTATCTGTCATCTGCCCTACTTGTCTAAAATGGAAGATCCCTACTGCCTTTATTTGGTACTCAGTCATTATCTTGTGAAGACTTTTCCTATTGCAGTTGCAGAATAATTATCTTATAATTTTGGTTACTTCTCATTAATAAGTAAAATTATTGCTAATGTCATTACCTTGACTTCATTTGCTGATATTTGAGCCCCAAGCCCAATTCTTTTAAAACCTATTGTATGGGGTCAGCAGATGGATACCAGTGGGACAGTGCCTGCTTTCCATGACCAATGCCCCAAGTCAGTCACCAGAACATGAATACCTTCAAGGTTATCATGTTCTGCTGAAATGAAGCAATGTTTTGTGGTGTTAAGTGCTCGGCTTGCCTTGTTTCTATAGCCACGGGCTCAACTGCCTTTACATTCATCTTCAAGTGGTGGCTTCGTGGCTAGGTTACAGGAGGAAAAACACAAGATTATTTTAAAAGCTTGTATAGTCCAAATAGGACTGTTTCTTATTTTCAAAAACACTACAAGTCAGTTGAATGTGGCAGATAAAACTGAAAAAAATGAAGAAGAGCAGCTTTAAGAGATGTGCATCTTCACAGAATAAAGATGAGTAAGAGCACTGTGTTTGTGTATGACATAAGTCCTCCATTAGCTGCCTCTCCCTTTAACAACCAAGAACAACACATCGCATAAAACACAAACAGCCTCTACCCGAGGCCACTGTGCACAGAGTGAAGGCAGCTTTCTTTCTATGATAAAGAACAAAAAAGAAAGAAAGAAAATGAAACAGTTCCAGCCCCCAAAGCCAAGAGGTAACCCTGAAAATAAGAAGGCTTAAGGGGGGACCTTTAATCTTGAATCCAAACCTGTTCTGCACTCCAGAGAGCACCTGAGGGACACGTGGAAAACTAACTGGAGCAGCCCCACGAAAGGCCACAAACTGGATTCCTGTGGTAAGTGCACCTGCCTGTGGGAATGAGCAAGTGGAAGTCTGAATCTAATTGCGTTAGCATTTTGATGAAACAAAGCACAAATAATCTCCAAGAGAAAGAAAACAGCCCAGAGTTACCATCTCTTAATAGTCATGTTTAATGTACTTCACAATTGCCTCATCTAAACAAACCAAGAAAGTGAACCCACTCTCACAGAAAAGATAATTTTGAGATAAATCCACACATTAGAATTAGCAGATATGAGACCAGAAGGTTGGCACTGTGGTTGAGACAGTGTGCTGCTCTTGCAGGGAACCTGAGTTCGGTTCCCAACACCAGGCAGCTCACAACCACCTGTATCAGCTCCAGAGCATATGATGTCCTCTTCTATTCTCCACTAGCACCTGCATGCATGTGAACATGGCTATACACACTAGTACCTGCATACATGTGAACATGCCTATACACACTAGTGAACATGCCTATACACAGGCACGCACAAGTACATACAATTAAAATCACTCTAAGAAAGTCATTACTAAACATGTGTCCAGTGAGGTAAAGAAGAAATCACTCATATAAAAACAAGGAATCATAGGGAAGATGAAGAAAGCATGAAAGAGAACCAAATGAGAATACTATAGTTGTAAGTCATAACATTATTCTATTTCATAACCATTGGAAACTTATAAACTCATAGCTCAAATTATTGAACAAAGGCTAGTGTACGTAGTACTTTATTATGCTGTGAGTGATGTCATCAAGCACACTATCCCTTTGTCCAGTGGTTTCCTGAGACATGGAACATACAAACACATGACCTACCCATTATACTCTTGGGATTTCCCCAAGACAAATGAAAATGTTTGTTCCCTCAAGTACTTCAGTGCTTTTTATATAACATTAAGGTAGAAACTGCATAAATGTTCATTGGCACTGAATAAATAAACAAGATAATTTATTCATACATAGGAAGGCACGTATGAAGAGTGTGACTCATGTCAAAAGCACTGTGTTAATAAAGGAAGACAGTCATAGAAGGGAAAATGCAAAATTATAAACACTATTTGTCTGTTTCTATAAAATTTTAGGAAATGCAAATCTAATTCTTGCTGGCCAGAATTTGATACAGGGGCTAGGTGTTGCTAGGAATCAGAGTGAACTGGGCTGCACGAATACCTGAAAACACTTGCAAGAAGGCCAGAAAATATTTCGTGTGTTATGTAAGTGTCCTTTCATGACCTTACTGTATGCGCATTTGTCAAAATGCATCAAAGTGCACTTTAAGCGAAGCAGTTGGCTTTGCATAAAATACCCAATAAAATTGAGTCTTAAAAGTACTACTATATTGGGAGTCAGAGAAAGGCAGGAAAAAGAGGATAATCAAATAACTTAGAAGCTGAGTAGCATTCAGAAAGAGAAAACATAGTCACCTTGAGAAATGAGTGTATTCAATATTTGATTTGAGTCTGTTGGGTTCCATGTAAAAACATACCTGTCTGTTGACAATTTCCTGTGTAACTGATGGATAAAATTCTTGTGCATGTGGCTTGATACTGAATGAAATAAGAAAAGCTTGTGTGGGTCAAATGAATGAATCACAAATTCAATGATTTTAGCAAAAGAAGCTAATATCAAAGGAATACTAGCTGTATATAGTATATGTCAAATGTGAGAAAAACCATGATGAAGCAAACCTCTCTCTGTGGTTTGGACTTGGGGTTTGAGGCAACAATACTCTGCTCTGAAATGGCCATATGCATGTGACTAATTATGTGGCTTGTAACTATGAAAGCTGTGAGCATGAATTTTTTGTGTTTCAAAAGTGAATATGGACAAATATTCAGTTGGGTGATGTGTCAAAATCTTAAGAGGTCTCTACAAAACTTGTACCCTGGCTCACTGGCCTTTATCTCTTGAGTGTGGTCAAGGTAAGTGCCAAGACAAGCTTCTCTGAGGAACTCAGCACTGTGCTGCAGAGGAGTGACCAGACACTCCATTTCCATTCTGAATCTTGCTCTAGAACTGCTCGCTCCTTATTTCTGGGTGAAGGAGTAAGTCCCCTTCTAGACATGCCTCCAAATGCACAGATCCTGGCCTATTAGAAATTTCCTAACCACTCAGCTTATTTATGCCCACAGAAGGAACCATCTCAGGCCCTGGAATTGTTGGACTGTTGGAGCCACAGAACTGAAAGAAGGACCATGAAACAGTGGAAGAAAACCATCTACGTGTGTGCTATCAAGGACTTAACTGCCTCTAGAATGTGATAAGATTGAAAAAGAACATTTACTCATCTTGGTAAATAAGATATTTTGAAAATATAACATTTTGGATTTCTGTTTTTTGAGGGTTTTTTTTCCTCATAGTGAAACTCGTCTCATTCTGTCAATGGGAACTAAACTGGAGTCAGACAAGAGAAAGAGTTCCATTGTGCATTACATAGGGTTGCAATGAGGCAGCAATCAGACAGTGTGCTATTCGGATGCTTGGAATTAAGAGGTGCTGGTAATTGCAGCATAAGCAAGAGATGCTTCAAGGTGTGTGGATGTACATGTAACCTGGTTTAAATATTACATGACATTTACATATATCAATATAACAAATGTGTACAGGCAGAAGCACCAAATGGTGCCCTGTTAATATTGTGTAGTATAAGTCTACTCACATCAATTAAGTATTGAAAATATTAATAAATTCCCAGATAAATAAAATGAAATATATCATCCCTTAGTTAACATTGCTTCAGCATTTTTTCCTTACATGTCATGTATTGTTCTAATACTTTTCACACACAAGGTAGACTAATCCTCGAAGTCTCATTAGTTATTGTGCATCTTTGTAGAGACAGAGAGAAGAAGCAAGAGGAGGAGGAAGAAGAGAAGAGGAAGGGCAGATTGAGGCAGAAAGAAGTGTTAACAACCTTCCCAAGGACAGCACAGCTTTTTGCAGACAGAGCTGAGATTTCAACCTGGTAGTGTGACTCCAGCCATCACCCTATGTTTTATTGACTTTGTGACTGTTACAATGGCGAGTTAAAAGTGTGAATCAGCTGTGCTCCCATAAAACAGGTATTCTGCCAGCAGGAAACAACATGGACATGCCAAAGCCGTTCTCACTCTTTATCACTGTCCTAGGACTCAGGGGGATTTAAGGCTACAAGTCATTATAAAAGTATTAAAGAGAAACCTTAGTTCAGACCTTAAGGAGGCAGCTGGAAATGCTACTCCAGTGAGAGGTCTGACTGCTGTGTCCACACATAGTTTTCTCTGGATATATTTATTTTGGATCAGTGGGATATGAAAATAGGAAAATGAAACTCAAACAACAGGCCAGAAGACCCAAGTTATAGGTCTTTTTCTGGAAACAAATGACCTTCAAAGTTCCATCTCTCCTCATGGGGCTAAATTAACTCATCTAGAATGTAAAATCTGCCCCATTAATCCATTAATTTGATCAGAAATTATTGCTGGACTTTCTTTTATGCAACAAGAATAATAAAAAACTTGGTTGGGTGAATAACTCCTTGCCCTGTGGAACTCACTCCCCCTGCCTCTACAGTGAAATGGGATAAATGCTGTGATTGACAGCTGCACAGCCAACTATTTGGGTGGAACCACACAGGAACATGGCACGAGAAACCTAATAGTCCGTATTACACTAAAATTAATTCTGAAAGTCTTCAATAAATGTTAAAGAATTACTCTGCTTAGTATAAAAATATATGCTAATATGATGTGGTATGCCTTGCTAAATATCAGCTCCAACTCTATGGATAAACTGGATATTGCTGTTTTCTTGTTTCCCTTTGACTTCTCCATTAGTCAGGTCTTTCTAGAGGAACAGAACCCATAAAAGGGACATATCTTAACAAAGAAGTTAGAAGTATTCCAACAATGGCCTTTTTCACATGGAAGAGACTGAGAGCTCAGTGGCTCTTCAGGAGTCCCTGTCAGAAACTGAGGGCTTGGAGGACTTCTGGGAGAGAGGGGCCTTCAGCCACCTTGAAAGGCAAAATAACGTTGGGTTCCCATATTAGTAAAGGACAGACTAAGAGGAGGGAAAGGAGTGGAGAAGAGGAGGAGTGGGGAAGAGGAGAAGTGAGGAAGAGGAGGAGTGGGGAAGAGGAGGAGTGAGGAAGAGGAAGAGTGGGCAGTAGGAGCCGTTGTGGCTGGGCTGCTGCCAGAAGGCGTCTCCCACACTGAGTTGGTTCTGGAAAATTCTAGAAAAGAATTCCTCCCTAGACGAAACGAAAAGGTCACAAGAACAACACTTTATTTCGCTCACTTCTTTCTCTGTCTCACTTTCCAGCCACTTTTCTGACCCCTTCCCCAGGCACAGTCCCGTGAAGAGTTCATGTTTTGGCTGAAGTAACCATCTGGAACCATTAAGAGACGACAGGAAACCTCTATGTGCGTCTGTAAGCTCGGGGCTATAGCTGCTGTAATAGTCCAGAAACTTCTGTAGATACTGGTAGAAGATGAAGCCATATGGTTGAAACTACCCTTAGCCAAGTTATTTTTACTTGAGCTAAATGCATTAGTAGCTCATCCGAAATATTTTGCCACACTACACTTTCCTTTGATGAGCAAGAAAAATCACATCTAGTGAACTCTGCAACTATTGTTCAGAGAGGTCCATCTCTGAGCTCCTCTAGACCACAGTTAAGAAACTTAACTATAAGGGAAAGAATCAGCCCAAGAGGACTTCCTTACACCATCTAGGAACTGAGGTACTCAGCACCATTTTCCAGCATGCACCTACACTAGCAGAATGGTTATTTCATGTCTTGTGGACATTTCCTCTTTATTTACATGGATAATTGCCAGGCTCAGTCAGGGACAAAGATAGTAGGACAGGATGTAGTTCTTTGTCCCCCTACCCGTGTGTGTGTGTGTGTGTGTGTGTGTGTGTAGAGAGAGAGAGAGAGAGAGAGAGAGAGAGAGAGAGAGAGAGGTTGAGAGAGAGAGACTATGTATCTTGGATTAGCAATACTTTCTGTAGTAGATCAGTCTGACTTTGAACTAGTGACAATCCCCCTGCCACAGTCTCCTATGTGCTAGAAATAATGCAGTGAGACAATATATTATCCAATTGATGACTATTTTCAGGAAACTGGATCAAAAGAGATATGATAAACTCCATAACTGCACTCAGGCTGTGAGGAATACAAGCACATAGTCTTGGAGTGGATGATTAAAACAAGACATGGAGAGGTATCAGGTCACAGTGGAGAAGGGATTTGAACTATATTTTAAACATGTCAGTGAACTGTTACAGGAATAAAATGTCCTTGCTGTTAAAAACTGCAGGGGGCTGTGGTGACACTAGAAATTTTCCATGGTATACCATCATCCAAGTTGAATAGTTACTTGCTCAGGAGCAATTTTTTTCAGATTAGAAATTGCTGAGGAAGCATGTGCTAAATTATTGACCACCAGGGAGGGAAAGGACATGAGGAGCCCTAGTTTCTGATGAGGTTAGAAGTATTTTACATATGACATTGAAGAGAAGAAGGGTATCAAGTGATGAAATAAATTTGGGGACGATTAAGCAAGTATTGATGGGAATCTCCCAAACCCTAGCTCTGCTAACCGCATTCTGAGAGGCCCAAGAGACTCAGCCAATTATTCCAGTTGTTTTAGAGAGAGAGAATAGCATGGCATTGCTCACACTCAGGGAAGCACACAGCAAGGGAGCCTGGGTCCAGGGAGTGGGGAGACAGAAGAGAGTGAAAAGAACCATAAGGAACAAATGGACCTTTCTCCTTTAACAGCAGCAAATTGTAGGCACAAAGGCTAAAGAGGAAACCTCTAGATATATTCCTGGTGTGCTGGGAATCAGGAAGACTCCTACCACAACTCCTTGCAAAAGGATTCAGAAATACAAATGCAGCTAGACTAACTGAGTGGTTGTGGTCAGGCCTGGGGAGGCTCTTGGTTCTAGGCTGCGTGTCTGCCCCAGGCCTGCTCCACCTGGAGGGATTTCATGTCCACATATGAACAAAGGAAGAGCTATCCTAAGCAGTTATGTACAGGTGCCCATCATCTGTGACTAGCGTCTGTTCCCCAGTTAGGGACCTATCAATGAGGCCTCTTCTCTATACACTGAGCCTAAAAAAACAACGCTGTGTGCTGCCTTCCTACACACACCACTTTTTTGTTGTTATTGCTGCTGCATTGTGGATTTGGCAATGCTGGGGAACGAGCCCAGAGCCTCATGAATGCTAGGGGAGTTCTCTACCCTTACTTAACACTCCCAGCCCCCTATACATTTTCATACAAATAGTCTACTTTTAAAAATCCCTGCATGTTTAACTTACTTGGCTTCTTCAAGGACCTTCAGGAATATTATAGATCATATATTCCCAGCGAGATAACACCACTCCTAAGGAGGTGAAAATTGATTCTTGAGTATGTAAGAAAACTTTGATATTACAACGTTTTGTGGCCTTGCAATGAGACAGCATACATAAATAGATTTACCTAGTCTATGCCATGAAAATTTCATAGAATAGGGTGGGGGGAATTTTAGGAAAATGTTTTTAAACTTCTTATAGATGCACAATTTCCAAAGTATGGAGAAACTGTTAAAGATGAAGCATCCTACCAGAACACCTGATTTCAGAGCCTGATTCCAGGACATCTTGTAAGCTGCAAGGATATAGCCTCAAAGTCCATATGCCACCTCTGTCCCATATGAGCCGAAGGACTGTGTATAGACAAACTAAGCTGGATGAACATGCAGAGGCTTTAGTTACTCCGCTGAAAAGTGGCTGGAAGACAGAGCTCTGTAGGTATCTCTAGGCATTTTATGATGAGGCATTGACAAGATTATTTGCAGATAATCTTATCAGACTCTTTGTAGAGCGACAGCCATTTTAGGTTAAAACAGTATCTGTCTTGGAATAAGGGGGAATTCTTGTTTCTTGACCAGGATAGTGAAGATAATGTCTCCTCCAGAGCAAAAGTGGGTCTTGTTTGCTAGAAGCTTCTTTGTAAGAGTAGAGTTTCCCTAACCTTGACATTCCTTGGCCAATATAAACTGTCTCAATGCATACCATGTGGCTATGCCCTTGGTCACATCCCTGTGTATTCAACATGGGTCACGGAGGGAGATGACCCAACGTGAGTCCAGTGTTCATGTTTTCTACTGTGCCACAGTATCTTGTCTTCCACTAACATCTGTGAGATGCAGGAAGGCCAACTTGTTGGTAAACTCTCTAGTCAGTTCCTTGTGGTCTGGAACAACAACAACAACAACAACAAATTTATCCCTTTTTCTTTGCTGGAAGGAGGAAGCAAGTTAGTCAAGATGGTGGAGGAAACTCTCTTTGGTACACATTCCCCAGCCACATCAGAGAAGAATAAACCAAGCCCCACAGGATGTATCCAGGTCTGCATCCAGGTCTACAGTTAGAATGAGGATGTGGAGAACTGACAGCTCTGACTCAAACTTGCCACGTGGCGAACCCGGGCTGACACAGACGTCTCTTCCACTCAGTTTTGCAGGGCAGCTGGGGAGAAGTGGAACACCAGTAATTGTAGTGAGGACAGAGTGGAAAGGTCAGTTCCAGCTCTGCGTGGTGTCACAGCTTCACCGGAGTGAAGCGGTGCCTTTTGGTTCAGTAACAAGTTAAATTTAGACCGAGAGAAAAAGAGCGATGCGATACACAAAAGCAAATTCCTCTTGAATTTTAGGTGTGCCATATAGAAGAATGAGTACGTGAGCCTTAAATCTGGGAGTGAGGCTTCAATGGTCGATGGGGGTGTGATGTACATTGTGTTGGTAGATTGTTATGTGCAGTTTGAGCCCACTGAGAAGCTGGCTTTCCAAACAAGGTTTGAGCGGCACCTGTTCCCCATTTCATCCCCAAGTAAGTTTGTCTCAATATGTCCTCCAAAACTCCTTGTCCAAGAACAGGCTGGCCCCACCAACTCTGTGACAGGAAAAAAAGAGAACAAGGCAGTCTAAGAGCAAACTCACTCTCCTTGAAATGAGGTAGAAGGGAAACCGTTTCCAACAGACACGTTGCTTATTTCTCCACCTAAAAGTGGCAGCACTGGGAATGGGAACCTCAGGTTGAACCATGGGAAGCTCAGCCATGGACAGGGATTTTAACTGGGAACTCCAGTGGGTGCCTCAGCTTCCCTGGTCCATTTCTGCTGGATGATTGTAAGCCCCTGAGGATGCTGCCTTTGCATGCTCTTCCATTCAGCTCTGCTGGATGCTGTGAACTCTCGATTCTCCCCCTTCCCCTTCTCACCTCTCTTTTTCTCTCTCTCCTCCTTCTGTCTATCCATCTGATACTTGCTTTTCTTACACTTTTGTACACTATAGACTTAACTTACTTTTCAAAACCCAAAGCATGGCTATTATAGATCATTCTCCAAACTATACAAAACAGGGGACATGAAGAGAAAGAGAAAGGAGACCAATGTAGACGGGATAGACTTATGCTGGACTTTATGGACTTTATGCTGACGGACTTACTAGGTAGGAACCAAGTGAAAATTAAATAACCATGTGATGAACTGTGAGCATATTCATTGTACACTACTGTATTATTTCCTTAATTTGAACTATATGTAGTATTCATATTCTAATGTTAACCAATGATTATGAAGGGGCAGTACATCCTAGTTTGCACATGTG